GGCGGGTGACCATTTAAGGCAAAGGGGACTCCGGGCTCCGGCAGGAAGGATGGAGGGGGAGAGCGAGAGAGAGAGAGAGCGATCCCACACCCCCGCCGCCGCCGCCGCCTGGAGCGCAGCGGGGAGGGAGGGAGGGAGGGAGGGAGGGGTGTGTGTGCCTGTGTGCAGCGCTGGAATCTGCCCCAACACACGTTTTCGCACTGATTGCCCCCTCCCCGGAAGCTTCTAGGAAAGACGTCGGGGGGTGGGGGGGGTATCCTCCAGGGCAATAAAGGAGCAGCCTGCAGAAATCCCCCCCTCTCCATGGGGGGTGGGGATAGAACTTAGAGCTGCAAAGGAGAGGGGGGGCGGACGCAGGACTCCTCAATTCTCTGGGGAGAAGTGGGGTTAGGCCCGGGCTGCGGGGGAAAGAAATGGAGCCTTAGTGGGAGGAAGGGAGGGAGGAATTGTGAGGAACCGGGGATGGGAAGGCTGGGAGGGGGGGATTCCTCCTGGGGCCTCGGGGCTAGGAAGAAGCGGGCTGGGTGACCTCAGAGGGCTCTGCGGGGAGGGGTTTTTTTGTCTTGCTCAGGAGGGCCTGCCTGGTCTCTTGGGGAGGCCCCCCGGGAAGTCTTGGCTTCTCCGGGGAGGATGCCGATGCTGGCTGAGGTTTGCGCAGCCTGACTGGCCTTTATGCAGCCATTCACCTCCAGGCTCCATTCAAGGCGCAGGTGTTGATCTTTAAAGGCCTGTGGGGCCTGGGACCAACATACCTTCAAGACCACCTCCTCCCATACCAAGGTACCCACCCACTACAGTCATCCTCAACAACCCTGTCTCGGTTGCCCTCACCATGAGGCTGGATGGGTGGAAACCTGAGGAAGGGCCTTCTCGGTGGTGGCACCAGGATTTTGGAACTCCCTCCCCAGGGAGACCCGTCTGTCTCCCTCTATTGATGTCTTTTGGGGGGGGGTTTGTCTGGCATAACCCCAATAAGTTATTGGCCCTCCTCCTAGTGTAGTTGACACGCTTTTACTTACGTTATGTTAGATTTGCCCCCTTGCAGAGCCCAGTTAGGAGGAAAGGCAGCATAAAACTGTTTTAAATAAACAAACATGAAGATGGCTGCCTGGAGATTGTGGATTCTGAACGCCCAGGAGCAGTATTCCCTCTAAGCTGAGTTAGTGTGAGCTAGCTCAGTTTTTTAGCCTCCGGCTCACCGATATTTGTCTTAGCTCAGGAAGGAGGGCTCCAGAGCAAACTGATTTATGCAGGAGCCAAATCGCTCGCTCACAACTTTAATGCCAGGAGCTCACCAAGTAGAATTTTTGCTCACAGGAATCCACAGCTTAGAGGGAGCCTTGCCCAGGAGGCCTAGCCATCAACAGCAGCAGAATACAGACTAGCCCCACAGGCCTGCTAGATACTGTTTCGCCCCCAAAGGCATGTGCTTAGGGGCTGTGGGAAAAGCCTGCCCCCTTCTTCTGCAAGCCCTTTGACGCCTTCTCCGCTTCCAGGTCTGGCAACTCCTGGACTTCAGGTGCCAAACCGGGAAGAGTCATGCAGCCGCTGGATCCAGTGGGGGTCACGAGGGCTTTGGCCAGAGACGAAATTTGGCGGAGAGGCGGCTGGGAAGATCTGCAATCCTCCAGCCATGTGAGATGATTTGATTCAGAGGATGTTGACAGGAGGGAAGAAACACAGGATATAAAGATGGGCTGAGCCAAGGGAGCTGGGAAAAGAAGGGATGGAGGACAGAACGGGGGAACGGAACACTCCCGGCTACGCTCCGGTCAGTGCAAATATTTGTCAGGCAAAGGGAGAGTAGGCCAGGTGAGAGGGAGAGAAGGTTCTCCTCCCATTTCTGTCCTGAGGGGCGGCTTACCTGCCAGCAGGCCACTGACTGGGAAGGGACAGGCGTTCAGAATGTGAGGCAGAATGGTTCCTCCTTGAAACGCTTCCCTTATATCGAGTCAGACTAGCAAGGCCACTCTTGTCCGCTCTGGCAGTGGCCCTCTGGGGTCTCGGGCTGAGGTCTTCCAGAGTACCACCTACCTGATCCGTGTCACTGGAAATGCCAGGGATTGAACCTGGGACCTCCTGCATGCTGAACAGATGCTGTGAGCAGTAGAGGTTTCCTCTGCTCGAAAGCCAGTCGAATCCGGCTCTAGGGATGCAGTGCTCATCTCCGTTTCCAAGCCGCTGTCCAAAGATGTTTCCGTGGTCATGTGGCTAGTGTGACTAGGCACTGAGGCACACGGAACGCTGTTACCTTCCCACCGAGGCGGTACCTATTTATCTACCTGCATTTTCTTGCTTTCGAACGGCTAGGTTGGCAGGAGCTGGGGCCAGAGACGGGAGCTCACTCCGTCATGCGGCACCCGGGTCTCGAACTGCCGGACTACAGACCAGTTCAGCATCTTAACCACTTGGGCCATCACAGCCATGGCTGTGAGAGTTACCTTACCTCAGGCAAGCCTTCCTCCAACCCTCAGCATCTTAACCACTTGGGCCACCACAGCCATGGCTGTGAGCGTTACCTTACCTCAAAACTCTTTAGTGAGTCAGGCAAGCCTTCCTCCAACCCTTGGCTTTCCTGCCTATAATGCGGTGGTGGAAAGTGCCGCCAAGCTGCAGCCGACTTATGGCGACCCCCACAAGGTTTCCTAGGCAAGAGACGTTCAGAGGTGGTTTCCCATTGCCTGCCTCTGCGTCACAACCTGGGCTTCCTTGGGGGGGTCTCCCATCCCAGTGCTAAGTTGGGCCAACCCTGCTTAGCTTCGAAGATCTGCCTAGCCTGGCCCATCCAGGGCAGGGCCCACCGATAGTAGAGGCACAATGATACTGACCTGCCTTACATGCGAATTGTAAAGAGAACAGGTAATGTGCACAAAACCCTTTGAAAATGCTAAAGCGCTGCAGGGATTCTAAGTATTACTACGAAATGGATGTTGTGGCTGCTGGAGTCCCGGTGGCCTTTACAGGACTTGCTTTTGGAACCGTGGCCCATTCCAGTACTTTGAGACCAAGACGTGCACGTGACCTGCACTTTCAGATACTATTTTTAAGTGAACACTTGGTCAGTGCTTCCAGAAGGCATGTTACTGGACCTCATGAAAGAAGCCTGGTCGACCACAACCTCCTTCAGACAACCACAGCCGCCGCCACAAGCCCAATGGAGTCATGGGACATTGACCCCAGAGTCTGGCACATGGAGCATCGGGAAACAACCCCCTCTTTGGCAGTAGAACAGTCGTCCTGGGATGCTTATGACAACACAAAGATCCTCCGAAGGGTGGCTTATCTGAGAATTAAGGAGTCAGCACCGTATGTACCGATCTCTGCTCCTGAGGTTGTAAGAGCGGGACATTAAGCAAGGGTTGTTTTCCCTGGTAGGAGATAAGTGATGGGGGGGACGGACGACTTCACCTGCTCAGGCAAAAGAGCCAACCCAGTTGACAGCAAAAGACCCAGCAGGAAGACAGGAGTTAGGCACACACAAGATTTCACGGGGGAGAGGAAGCATATCCTTTCCAGCTAGAATTTTACTCCAGACCCTCTGGCCATTCAGAACTAAGTCAATGTCATGCATCTAATAAATGACTGTCAGGGGCGGTGAATCGGACAACGATCAACTTTAAAAAAGATACCTGAAAGAAAAACAGGAGCAGGCTGGTTCGGGAGAGAACACAGCAGAAAGGGAACCTCCTCCCTCCCTCCCTGCGCTAGCGGCCAGAGAGCCCCTTGCCACCCTCGGGAGCTCAGGAAGTGGTTCCTCCCTCCTCCTCCCCCTCCCCCCTTCTCCAGACCATCTGGATGCAGTTAGGAGAGCAGGCGTTTCCTGTAAGGCGGGGAGGGGAGGGGACGGTGAGTGGTAGGCCGCTTCTCTGTTCCAGGCAGAGATCCTCCGCTGGCATGCTGGGGCATCCAGTTCCAGATCCCGCCCGCTAAGTGTTTCACCAGAGACTCAAGCCCCGGCTGTGCGTCCCCCTTCTGCATTCATGTCTCCACACCACAGTTCCATCCCATGCACAGACAATGTCGCAGAGAAGCAGATTGTCATCTGACCAAAGTGCTGCCTCCAAAATTGGTCCCAGCTGTCTGTCTGTCTTTCCGATGACAAAAACCACATTTACCTTTTCCCATTGGTAGGGAGAGGACGCCGGTCCCTCGTTTCCCAGCTCATAAAATAAGGCAAGACCACACGGACATTTAGAGCATCTCTGAATCTATATTTGTCTATGTACAATCGCTCAGAGGCAACCCGAGTTCTACCGGCACAAATGAGCCACGCCCCCTCCGATCGGCCTCCCAACTCACAAAGTCCCCCCTCCACCCCCTTCTCTCCTCATGAGCCCCAGAGCAAGCGAGTCCGAGGGGTCCGTTCTGCAGGATTCTCTTCCCAACTCAGGCTCCTTTCGTCACGTATTGATCCCCTTCTTACATCTCCATCGGAAGCCACACCCTCTCACACAGTGGAGGGGGAATTTCTACAGAGTCACCTCCTAGGACTGGGGTCCCCCATCTGAATTCCTGGTGTGCAACGGGGAGCCCCTCCCTTGAGTTCCCCCTACAAGAAAGGGACCCGCCGCCCACTTTCCACTGCTGCCATACTCGGAACCAGACAGAGACTAACCGCGTGCTCCTCCATTACTGGATGGGAATGTCTCTGCAAATGAAGGGGTGGGGAGAGGCTGCTGCGGAATCGGGCTACATTACCACCACCTTTCCACAACTCGCTTCCCTGTTATCCCCCCCCACAACACACAGAGCGGCCTCCTCTGCCTTCCACCTCACATACACAACCCACTTTGGTGAGGGGGTGCTCAGTGCTACTTTCCACTCCCAGGGGATGCCCAGGTCGAACTTCACGGATCACCCAGTTTATTCTTAGTGCTCCTGCTGCAACTGCATTGGCGTGCTCCACTACAACACTGATACTGCGGTGGTGTGTGAGAGACTGGAGAGGGAGGAGACGAGGGCTCAGGCCTTCAGCCCAGCTGTCCCTCAGAACCGGAGCCCCACGGGGACTCCAGGACTGCCCTTAAGAGCTCCTCGGCCAACCCGCTAGGATTTCCGGTGGATCGGAGCAGTTCAGCCAACACAGCGGCTTGCCGGGTGGGTTCTGCCGACTCCTGGAGCGCGTAGGAGGCACACCGCTGGAGCAGGCGGGGCCGGTTCTGCCGTTCGGCCAAGCGGTACACCTCACCGATGGTCCCTGGGCGTAAGAAGCCCCGGCAGATGGCATCATCGACCAGAGACTGGAGCTCAGGGAGGATATACTGTTCCGCAGCCATCAAAATCTCTTCCGCCAAAGTGAGGGAGAACGGCACGCCCAACACTGGGCAAGGTTCCCCCCGGCAGCCGTGAAGAAAGTGCGTAAGGGCCAGGAAGGGCTCGGGCGACAGGCCGTGGAGCGTCACCGTGGCACAGCACGACTCGGCAAACCCTCCGCTCAACATGGCGTGGAAGACCTCGGAGGCTTCGCTCACCACCTGACGCGAGGCGGGCACCGTGGTGCCGCCGTCAAGCTGGAAGTGCAGGTCGGCCCTGCCGTCGTCCACCAGCTGGTGGTAAGGACAAGGCTGTGGGGGGTCCAAGCGGGGCCGCTTTAAGGCAGGAGAAGAGACCCCTGCCGCCGTAGGTGGGGCTGGAGAGCCCAGGAGGAGGGAGAGTGAGTCGGAGGCGTAGAAGATGAAGTGGGGGTCGGGGCCTCGCACCAGGGCGGCTAGCAGGAGGCGCAGGCCGGAGTGGTCCAAGAGGAGCTTCCGGCAAAGGGAATCCTTCCTGCAGCAGAAGCAAAGAAAGAACATCACACTCGTGGCCTTCGGGTTGCTTCGACCTTTTCCTTCTCATCCTGGAGAGATTTTGGCCCAGAAATTTGAGGAGGCACATTGTGCTGACCACATGTACACATTCTCCCCAAATCCCTCCCCCCATAATGCCCTTGGATCCCACCAAAATCTTCTGCCAACGGAATGGAGCACAAATTCCTTGCCGCCCCGCCCCCCCTGCAGTCCAAGAGTGGCCCTCCAAACGCTGGTCCTGGGAGACAGCAGATCCCCCAAAACAGCACAGGGAGGCTGGAAGGCTGCAGCATGAGAGAGGAAACTGGCGGTCCCCCCTTCAGTCTGCAGAAATCCTCCACGGGACCCAACTCTGTACAATTCCCACTTTCCTGACACTGCTGTCACTTCCTTCTGACACACTATTTCCTTGCCTGTCTTTGCAACTCCTCTCTAGACTAGCAGGTCCCTTTCAGCCCCTCAGTACATGCAGAAGAAAAGCTGACTGGTGGGTTTTGCTTCCTCCCCTGACATCCAATGTGCGGGATGAGCAAAACTATCCACTCACTCTTCCCCGGCCCAGAGTACACCTCTTGTTTGAGCACGCTGGCCTCCTTGCCCACTGGCTGCCGTCCTGTGTGAGGAAGCAGCCACTGCCGGCAAAGGGCCAGGCTGACAGACCCAGCTTGGGCTCCCCCTGCTGGTCCTGGGAGGAAGAGATCCATCAGTCGGACCCACCTGCAGATCAGGGGGAGGGCAAGAGCACAGGCCACCTGGTCCGACTCGGAGCCCGACAGCAGCAGGTGGTTGAGGACCCCTACACCAAAGGGGGACTCTGCTTGTACACGCAGGTTCATCAGCAGCGTCTCACCTGGCAAAGGCAGGGAGGAAGAACAGTAAGTCAAATGCCGCAATGGCCAGTCAGCCCCCCCCCCCCCGCTTTTCCCAGTTCCCCTTCAGATGCCCTCAGAGGCCCTGAGATGCACCTCATTGCACTCAGCTTTAGATCTTCCAGAAGAAGTCTGCTCTGTAAACCACATGAGAAATGAAAGGCTCCCTTGGATCTGGAAGCGCCCTTGCCCAGCTGGTATCAGCAACCCAGGGGCTAAGAACGCAAAAGGAGCCCTGCTCGATCAGACCAAAAAGCCATTCGATTCCTCTTTACGGTGGCTTCCAAGTCCACAATAAAGGCTTGAAGGGAACTGTCCCTCACCAGTTTCCCACAAGAACGGAAATCCAGAGGCCTGCAGGGGTTCTCCATTTAGCCACAACAGTCTAGCAACAGCTATTTGTTATCTTCCATGTATTTGTTCTAATCGGCTTCTAAAGCCAGCACCCGTAAGTACATCTTGTGGCATCAAAATTCCATAAGTTACTCATGTATTATGTAAGTATATTCTTTTAAAAAGTACTGCCAATCAGTTCATTGACCGAGTCTCAGTTCGCATATTACAGGAGACAGGAAAGAAGCTCTTTATCCATTTTCTCCTGTGTCCTATTAGTGGTTCGAAGGCTGGATCAGGATCGGGGAGACGCCTGGTCAAATCCCACTCTGTCAGTGAACCTGACTGGGTGACCTCGGGCCAGCCTTTCTCTCTCACAGCGGGTGGGTGGGTGTCTTTTTACACTGAAGCCTCCGTGCAAAGCCCTCTGGGACAGAGGAAGAGAATATATCGGAACCTCAGACAAACATCAGACTCCTGATAACTAGACTCCAGGAACCACTGAACGGAGCCACCCATCCACAAAGGGAACCCCAGTGCAGCACCCCCCCCCCCCCCAAAACTCCAGAAATACCCACACAAGCTTCCCAGAGCAAGATTAGCTACACTGCTGAAAGCGTCTTGCAGCACCTTAAAGACAAACAGGTTTTCTGATGCCCTGGCTCACTTCATCAGATGTACAAACTGCTTGCTTCAGCATCCTGCAGGATGCGCACAGTTGCCCACCTTTTGAGATTTGCCCAGAAAGTTCGTACATGCATACACACGGTGCTGCCTTATACTGAGTAAGACCCCTGGGTCCATCAGGATCAGTACTGTCTACCCGGACTGGCTGCAGCTCTCCAGGGTCTCGGGCAGAGGGTCCCTCGCACTCCCAGATGCCCAACCCATTTAACTGGAGACACCAGGGACTGAACCCGGGACTTTCTCCGTGCCATGCAGATACTCCAATGGGAGCAAGTGCAAAGCCTTGGTCTTCTGATCCCACTCCGTACCATTCTTTCCCCCCCTTATGGCCCAGGTATCGCTCCACTACCTGTGGGGCCACACAGACGCATCAGGCAACGCGTGCTCCAGTCCCCAAAAGCCTGGCGCCAGGAGAATCCAAGTTGAATCCTAGAGCATTCCGGTCTGGGGAGGGGAACAGGTGTGGGGCATGTTGCTTTATTTTTGGTTTTTTAAACGATTTTTTTTAAACTATTAGCGTAAGCCACCTCGAACAAGAAGGAAAGACAAGATATGTTTTTTTTAAAAATAAAAGAGGACGAGACAGAGAGAGAAAACACGCACCGAGCTCCTTGCATCTCCCAGGGTCGTGGCGTCCCGCCTCCAGGTTCCCCGGCCCCTCCTCTTCCTGTTCCATAGCAGCAGCACTAGCAGCTTGCTCTGGCGACAGGCCCAGCACCAGCCAGGCCCGGATGAGCGAGGCCCCGAAGGAACGGACAAAGGCCTCCAGGCAGGCAGGGTTGCAGGTGAGGCGATGCAGCAGCCGCAGGCAGCGGGACGAAGGGGCGGGGCTCCCCGTGACGTAGCGGAGCAGCCCACGCAACACCGTCGGCGTCACCAAACTACGGCTGGGATCCTCGGCTTGCGAAAACCGTGAGAGCAGCAGCAGAGCCGGGGCTTCTGGGGCGTGCAGTTCCCTGTCGCCCCCATGTGGAGAGAAAGAGAGCGGCAGGGCCAAGGAGAGCAGTGGGGATGGGGTTTCCCCGATGGGGCGCGATGCCTGAGGAGGTGTGGCCTGCTCAGACGCGACACGAAACTTGGTGCGTCGCTTCCAGCAGAAGGTAGGTGGCCTGGACTCCTCAGGGGAACCCGGAAAGTTCTGAAGGGGCAGCTTTTTGGGTGCCGGACATGCCTCTTCGGCATTCGGGGATCTGGCAACAAAGCCGGGTGACGGCTGGTTTGGGTCACCCTTGCTTGGAAGCGATACAGTTGTGTGTGGACTCCCAGCCCCTGGCTCATTCTCATCTGTGGCCGGGACAATCTGGGCTGACCCTGCTGCTTCCTCGGCCGCTTCCGCTGAGCTTGTCTCCGGCAACGCTGTGACCAGAGGCTCCTCCCGCTGACCGGCCCCAGCCGCTTCGTGCTCCTTGGCCCCTGACAGACCCACAGTCGCTAGGAAAGGTGACCGTGCGGAATGGAGGCTCCCAGTTTCTTTGGAGACAGGCAAGGCAGCTACAGGGAGCGTCTCTTCCGGAGGCACTCCATCTCCCTCCGCTGGGTTTATTTCCGCAGAAGAGCCTGGCTGTTCCACGAGCGCCAAATCCAGCAACGGGCAGTTCAAGAAGTCAGGGGACTCTGCCCTGGACTGGGTCTTGACCCCTGGGGTGGCGTGGCAGGACCCCGGGGACTCGTCTTGCAGCTCCTGATTGGGGCTGATGCATCCTTGGGCGTCTAGCTCAGAGAGGGTGGTGTCTGGGGACCACTGTGGGGACAGGTCTCCGGGACTGGCAATGTAGCCTTCGGAAAGCAGCCAGGACCTGTGGGAGATTGGGAGAGGAGGTGGGGAGAGAGAAGACAAGAGCATAAGAAAAACCCTAAAAGAGGGATGCTAGTCAGGGAGAGGGAGGGACTCAGACCAAACGCTTGCTCACACTGCCCTCTGCTGGTAAGAATCCAGAAGCGCGTCAGGAAGGCCTGCGCCTGGCAATTACAGGCATCGGCCACTGCATGCACAAAGCCCCTTTTGGCACAAAGCCCGAAAGCCAACGCTTGCAACGCATTCTGCCTCATGACTGCCTGTGGGCCCTGGTAGGCTCAAAGGGCACAGGGAAAGAACTGTACTGCAAACGGCACCCACCTGCTACAGGAGTTCAGGCCTAGTGAAGTGAACCACATTCTGCAGAATCCTGAGCAACACGGCTGCCATCCAGGGGCTGAACACCCCCTCCCCACTACTGGTTTGTAACCCTTCAGTCTCCAGGGGAAGCTCATAACAAAGCAGGTCTGCAGTGCCTCCCGTGGCCGAAGGGGAGGGCGGTGTTCTTCCCTGGCTCCTACCCCAACCCCCATATCCTTCGCTGCTTTCTCCTTTCCCCTGCCCAGCCCAAATTCCCACTGGTCTGAACACTAAAACAAGTGATGTTCAGTATTTTGTGTGCTGAACTTGCCCGAGATCCTTCCAAATCCAGGAACGGATTTTGTTGCTCAGTGCGAAACCCGGCTCTTCCTTGGGTACACAAAGTGTACAGGGCTGAACCCCTGTGCCACTCCCCTTCTGCGAGCCTGTCGGCAGACCCTGAGCAAAGCTGGCCCCCAGCGGGAGGGAGGGCTTACCTGAGACTCTGGAAGCTGGAGGACTCTGCCCCGGGTGTGGCCTGCTCCCCGCGGCGACCCTCTGCGGGGAGGTCAAACGAGGTGGCGTCTCTCCCGTCCTCCTGCTCCTCGGCCTCCTCTTGCTCCTGGCCGCCCCACTGGCCCCGGGCCGCAAGCCTCCCCACCAGCAAAGGCACCAGTCCTCTGGCCTGCAGCATCTCCAGGGCCTCTTCGTCGTACAAGAAAGCCACGAAAGCCACCACCACGCGGGCGTGGAAGGAACTGTGGCCTCGGTCCCGCAGCAGGGAGAGCAGCAGCTCCAGGCCCCCGGCTTTGCGGATCCGGCTCCTGTTGACTGCCTCCCGGCACAGCAGGCAGAGGGCCCTCACCAGAGCATGCAGGGCGGCCCCCGGAGCGCCGGAGCCCCGCCACCTTTGGATCTCGGTCACCAGCACTTCCACCCCTCCGGCGTTGCCCACGGCTGGCCGCAGCATCCCCTGCAGGCAGAGGTTGGCCAGGGCCACCAGGGCCGACTCCCGCACCGCCCGCTTATCGTGGCTCGTCAGCGTCACCAGGGGGGCCACCCCGCCCCCCATGCTCAGCTGCTCGGCACAGTCACGGCTGCAGCCCTTGGTCAGCTCCAGGAGGGCCCGCACGGCCGCGGCAACCAGGGCGGCGTCATCCAGGGAGGAAGTCAGGCGCTCGGCAATGGGGCGCACCGCCCCCTGCTGGGCCAACGCCAGGCGATGGGCGGGGCTGTCGGCCAGGTACCGCACCGCTCGGATCACGCTCTGCAAACACTCGCTGTCCTGGGAGGTGGCGAGGATCTGGATCAGCGGGGGCACCGCTCCTGCAGGGAGGTGGTGGGCGGGGAATTGAAGAGAGGCCAGAGGAAAACAAAGTCAGGCACCCTCGTATTACCCAGACGACCCAGAAGCTTCTCAGCCGGACCGCCATATCTCCCTCCTCCTCCTCCCAAAACTAGGCCTTCTTATGCTGCCTCCTCCTGGTGCCTGCTGGGATAAAGGCACAGGATGACACTTTAAAGGTACCCGCGTGGGCCCACCTAACAATAACCAAATAACTTTGCAGCCACACGGTCCTCTCAGCTACTCGTGGCTGCTGAATAAAGCTCCTTGGCCTGGATGGCTTGGGCTGGTCCAGTCCCATCAGATCTTGGAAGCTCAGCAGGGTCAGCCCTGGATGGGGGACCCCCAAGGAAGCCCAGGGCTGCTCTGCAGGGGCAGGCCATGGCAAACCACCCCTGAACGTCTCCTGCCTTGGAAACCCTGCAGGGTCGCCATAAACCGGCTGTGACTTGATGGCACTTGCTCCCACTGTCACCTCCACTAGGCCACATGTCATTCTGGACAAGAAAGAAGGAGCCCTAACGGCCTTAAGCTGCTTATTTCACAACTTTCTGTGTTATGTGTTTGTGTCAGCCTTGAAAGGTGTCCTGCCTGGACAGTCATTAAGCTAATTCAGAACTTCTATATGTATTTTATTAGCCGACAAATGACAGTCATGCTTCAGTTCCTGGGGGTACTGATGGTTTCACGTTGTTCTTTCACTGCAGGGAACTGAGCGTGCAAATCATCATCTGTGTCGGTGATTAAAGTAGATTCTTCCCTTTCCTCCCAGTGACGGCTAGATATGCCAACAGGCCATCTTGTTCTTAAAAGGTTTTCAAATACTTATGTTTGGATGTTTCTATTATTGAATGTTTAGGGTTCTAACTGGTTTTATAATGTATGGAATTATTCTGTTGTAAACCGCCCTGAGTCCCACGTTAGGGGGGGGGGGTGTCAAGAAATCTCATGAAATAAATAAATAAATCTTCTGACCAAATGTCACAGTAAAAGCTACATAACGCAAAGACCTGGATAGCCCAGGTCAGCCTGATATCACTAGATCTCGGACGCTAAGCAGGGTTGGGCAAACGACCTCTGTACATCTCTGGCCTGAAAACCCCAGGGGTCCACCATAATGTGTTGCCAAAGGCTTTCACGGCCAGAGTTCATTAGTTGTTGCTGTAGATTTTCCAGGCTGTATGGCTGTGGTCTTGGCACTGTAGGACCTGACGTTTTGCCAGCAGCTGTGACTGGCATCCTCAGAGGTATAACACAGAAAGTTGGAGTACTCTCTGTGTCAATGTGAGACACCGACACATTGACACAGAGAGTACTCTGTTCATTCTTGCACTGTAGCACCCCCCCCATATTCGAATTGTGCAACACACCAAACAGCCTTTAGATCAAGAAATAATCATCACTGTGCTTTAAAAATTGCACAGTGCATTTCAAATGTTCAATGCGTTTTGCAGCCTCCAGCAATCCTTATGCTGGCCATGAAAGATTGCCTATTTATTTGTTTGTTTAGAAAATCTCTATGCTGCCTCGTCAGAGCCCCACTCAATGTGGCTTACCATTAAATTCATGTTATCGATCTAACAACCTCCCCCCACCCCAACCAAGCCATTAAAACAGAGTGGCATCATTACCCCATATTGCAGAGATGGGCTGGGAGGCTTATGTAAGGCCACCGAAGCAATCCACCGCTGGGGCATGTTTCAAACCAGGAATTCCTCGGCTTCGGCACTGGGCCACCGGGCTTTGCCAGAAGGCTACCAGTCCCCCAAGTGCTGGCCGGGATACCGCAAACCCACCTCAGTCCCGTTTGCGGAAAAGAGGAGCGCTTCGTTACGGAAGAGGGCAATGATCCCCTTGCTGCGAGGTATTTCACAGCCCGCGTTCTCGGCCACTTCTGGTTCTCGAGGCAGCTTCCTTCCCGTCGAACACGAGGGTGCTGGAGAGGCCGGCCGTTGCTCCTGCCTTCACAGAGCAAGGTCACACCACCGGAGCACTTCGTACAGAGAGGGCCCCAAGCCCTGCAACCCCTACCCCAGGATCCCCAGAGTACCACCCCGTGTTCAACCTGCTTCATGTATGGCCTGGCAGTTCTCCGTGTCTACGGCCAAGTTGCCGAGAGCCCGAGCCGTCCGATTCAGGATGCTTTCCACGGCGAGCGATTTCAGGACGGTAACTGCAAGGATGAAGGGTGTGGGGGGGGGGAAGGAGGGGGAGAGATAATCCTGTTAGAAAAGCACAGGTGGCTGTCTTTTTCTCCCCCCCCCCCCCCCCCCGCCCCCTAAATAAGCCTTTTAAAAAATCCACGGGCGTTGCTTTTTGCCCCCCCCCCCCCCCGCCCCTAGCTCTGGTTGGGAGCAGCTGCCTAAGGAGGGCAGCTTTCCCCATTCAGCCTGGCCAGTCTCTTATCGACTGTAAACCCTCTGTTTCCAAGCATCAAGGTCTGGCATACAATGTTCCAAAAAGATGGGGCGCTTCCACACATGCTGAATCATGCGAGTGGGTTTTGCCATTTCACACAGTGAAACCCAGTTGCGAAGTGCACTGAAAGTGGATTGAAAGCGCGTTATTATTTAGTGTGTGTGTGTGAAAGCGCCCATCGTTTCAGAGGGGAGCCATGTTGGTCTGCAGGAGAACAGCTGGATCCCAGTCCCGTGGCACTGTGGAGACCAGCAAGGTTCCAAGAGCCAAGGCTCTCTTTGTCAGAAGAAGGGAGTTTTGACACTCAGAAGCTGACACATAGAGGAATTTCAGACAGACGATATAATCCGGAAGAGGAACGGTTCCCAAACGGTTTCTGGTCTGTCGTTTCAGACAGAACCGTTTTAGAACCGGTTCCCTACCGGAATATATTTGTAATTTCAGACACAAACACATCTGTCCCATTTAGGAAACGGGGCTGAAGCGTTTTACCTGTCAACCGCTTCCAAGTAGTCTTCAGTTTCCTCTCCCGGTTCCGATACGCTTTTTCCCGCCGTTTTTCACCCGTGCGGGCGATCTCCGGCTTTTAAAAAAATGTTTGCTTTATAGCATTATAGCGCTATAACGGAACAGCAGTATATCAAACCCATTGGAATGCCTGGAGTGTTTTGTTATAGTGCTATAGTGCTATAGCGCTATAAAGTGAACATTAAAAAAAAAAAGATGGAGATCGCCCGCGCGGGCGAAAAATGGCGGGGGGAAAGTGGTGCAGTCTGAAATGGCAAACCACTTCAGATCCAGCTCTTTACCAGAAGGGGAAAGCCATGTGTGAAATGGCAGCCCTATACCGGTTTACTCCATGATGGATCAAAAACAGCTTCAAAACGGGTTAAAAAGGGTAATGTGAAATTCCTCCCTGAAAATCGTGTTGGTCTCTTAAGGTGCTACTGGACTTGAATCTTATGCTCTACTGTATCTAATACATGATGCACTGAGAAAAAGCAGTCGATTTCCCACATGGCACCGACACAGATTATTTCGCAATTACATATGAGATTTTGCTGTTGAGGAGGGAAGAGACTGGATTTATACCCCTGCCCTTCACTTGGAGTCAGAGCAGTTTACAATCTCCTTTCCCTCCCCAGACAACCTGTGAGGTAGGTGGGGCTAAGAGAGCTCTCTTGAGGACTGCTCTTGAGAGAACAGCTCTGAAGGAACTCATGACTGACCTAAAGTCACACCAGCAGCTGCATGTGAAGGAGTGGGGAATCAAACCCGGTTCTCCCAGATTAGAGTCCACCCTCTTAACACAACACCAGCCTGGGAAACAACAGGCCGTGGCTCAGGAGTATGGGACACGCTTCACATGTGGAGGGTCCCAGGTTCAGCCCTGGGTATGTGCAGTTAAAAGGATCTGAAAGAGCAGATGCAGTGCTGACTCTTGGAAGAAAACAATCTTAAACAACGTGGAGCCTCGGTCTAAAGGCAGCTCCGTGCATGGGCCCACGATGGACCACTCCAAAGCCTCCAGGTGGACCACCACTGTGTCCTTCAGAGGAAAGGCCAGTTTCCACAGAATCACTCACATAGCTGCATGCACTCTCTGATGACAGCCCCACATTCTAGCTTCAAGCAGGGGCCAAGAGAAAAAAAGGTAGTTCAAAAGGAAATGGTTACGAGGCGACAGGGCTTTCAATGTGTTTGGGATGGTTTCCAAACACCCACCTAGCTAGCCAGCAGCAGTCCAACTATGGAATTTGAGAGGATGAGGCGGCGTTCCATCTACAAAGCAAAGTGCAAGCCCGGACATGTTCTCGAGCTGCTTCCCGTACAAGAGAAGGCCAACGTTTCAAAGCACACTCCCCTAAAATGGACACAAGTCCAAGGGGCACTGGCCCACAAGACCTAAACCGACCCTTGTTTGAAAATCCTCGGGACCGCCTGGTGAGACGCTGACGCATTTCTGCAACCGCCCGTGAACTCCGCAGGGCAACGTCTGACAGTCACACCTGACGCAACCTTCAAGGGCCTTCCGGCACAAGGCGAGCTTAAAGGTTGCATCATCTCACCTGAGCAGGCAGAGACGCCTCCTGCCCTCCTCCGCAAGGCGCCCAAGAAGGAAAAGCCCACCGCTTTTCAGCTCAGAAAGAGAGGGCTCCAGGCAGGGCCGGATTTAGACTTGCTGAGGCCCTAAGCTATACAAAACCCAGAGGCCCCCTACTGTTTTAAATTACATCAGCTGGTCTCAGAAAAATTTAAAATATATACGCCTTTTTTAATATTTGAAAATAGATTGTCTTTTGATTTTTATTAAAAAAATAAAAATAAAGGATGCGTTTACAAAATCAGAGAAATAATCACATCATCAAAGGGTTTTTAAAATGACAAATAAGGCTCCCGTAGATTGCGAGGCCCTAAACTGTAGCTTATTTAGTTTATGCGTAAATCCGGCACTGGCTCCAGGCTGGGCGCGACACCAGCAAACCCACCACCACCCCCGCCGCGGCCCGCAGGACTAGAGGGCGCCTGGTCCTCCGAGACCCCAGACTGCGTGCCCACACAGGAGAGGGAAAGCGGCTACATCCAGGGGAGGGGGAAAGGCTCCCTCCCCGGTACATTTGGAGGCCCCAAGTCCGGACCCCCGCCTAGAAGCGCCCCGCGGGCTCCTCACACACACACACACCCCCAGCGACCCCTCCCCAAGACTCACCGAGGGGCGGGATCCCCCCGAGCTCGCGCACCTGGGAGCGGCTGCCCCCCTCGGTGCAGCAGTTGCCCAGGATGCTGAGGGCCAGGTCGAGGGTGCGTCGCGGGCGGGGGGCGCTGGCCAGGACCCCCAGGAGGGGCGCCAGCCCCCCGCGGCTCCTGAAGCGAGCGATGCCCCCGGCCTCCTTGATGTGCTGGGTCCTGAGGGCCAGCAGGGCCTTGCCCAGGCCTGGCTCCGTCCCCTTCTGCAGCTGGGCCAGGCAGTAGCCGAGAGAGCCGGCGGCGGGGCAGCCGCCCCCACCCTTCGGAGCCGAAGCTGCCATCTTGGGAGAAGCCCCTCACGGGCACGGGGGACGACGGAGGGCGGCTAGGGCATCAAAGTGGCCACGCCCCTAGGGCACTCTGGGAATTGTAGTTCCCGCCGTCATGGTGATAGGGAAATGACTACGAGTCCCGATACACACCGCGAGAGTCAAGGCTGCGAGGGAGGAAGCATTGGTGCATGACGGTAGTTGTAGTCCCATTGTTATCGTTTCTTTTGGCTATATAGGGCGGCGACTACAACTCCCAGGGATTCAAGCGGCACCAACGAGCGGGGAGGGATCGTGGAGAATAGCCCTATGGGGACTGTAGTTTTTTTGTAATATAACAGACACCTACGAAGGCTTCTCACCATATCAAATGTTCCGGCAGGATATGAAAAGGCACGATGGATGGGGGTTGTGGTTTCAACGCGGAAATGTGCTGGTGTAAATTGTCGCGTGGTTGTTTTTGCAATCATTTCCCTGTTTTGCTTCGATGGATAGCGAAATCTACGTACCGCCTTTCATGTGATATTTGAAAGTCACAAACAATAGGAAACAAAAAAGTATTTCAGTTCTTGCTTGTCAGTTCTGTAAATTTGCGTCTTACTTTCCAAGTTTTCAATTATGTACATCATTATTATGGTATAATATGTTTTTAAATGCTACCAAATTGTATTTGATGTTTTATTATTGCAAGATTTCTTGCCATGTAAGCCGCCCTGAGCCCTACGGGGGAGGGCGGGATATAAATTTAATAAATAAATAAATAATATTATTGCATCACGAATAGGCATCATACTTTAATGAATGACATAAGCAAAAGGGGAAAGAAAGAAAGAACGTTATAAAAAGAATAGACACCACCCTCCAGAACTTTATAATCTGAATTTATACATTGGGGGGAAACAGAGGAGTTTTAGGATTTTGCTTCATCAGTACACCCACACAATTAGTTGCTTATTCTTTCAACAATTCTTAGCCAAGTAGTTTCTGTAGTATACTGGCCAAGCACCCTCACTGCCCCACAAGAAATTGTGACATATGGCTGTATGTTCAGATGGTCAGCCATGTTGGTCTGAAGCAGTAGAACAAATGTAGAGTCCAGTGGCACCTTTAAGACCAACAAAGTTTTATTCAAAGTATGCGCTTTTGTGCAAAAGCTCATACTTTGAAGAAAACTTTGCTGGTCTTAAAGGTGCCACTGGACTCTAAACATGTTGCTATAGGTTCACTTCCACCTGCTATTTCCTGAATTCCATCTACACTGCCATAGCCCCTCTTTCACTTAAATATTTTTATCAGCAGTTCAAAGTATACATCAGCCACTTCAACAGGTAACAGGCTGGGCACTGCTTGATGTCTTGGTATTAATGTGCATGTGTTCTCTTTAAAGACAAGGTGCCCACTCAGAAATTGACCTTCCAAAGACTTGGGGGAGTGAGCTGAACTCCAAAGAATGACAACTTGAGTAACTCAGTAAAAAATTACAAAGACACTCCCCAGGGAAAAAAACAGTGACAGTGATTTATCAAGCAGAGATACCAGAAAATGCCAAAAAAAATTGCATTAGACTTCAACGTACTGCTGGATTCCTGTTTCATTTTGCCGTTACAGGCTAATATGTCAAATCCACTCTGAAACTGGGGACTGCCCCGATTAACCGGGAGAGTTGGAATTGGAAATGAATGCAGTCAGGAGGGCACATCTTAATCAGAGGTGGAAGCTTCCAGAGATTACTGTACTGGAGCACGCAGGCCTGCTCACAGTGTGACATAAGGGGCTGTTGAATCAAAGTTAAGGATGCTGGAAGTGAAGGACATTTGTCTCCTTTGGGGCCGTTCCTTAGAGGCCATCCCTTTTTCAGGGACCAACCTGGGTTAACTAGGCCAGTGGTTCTCAAGCTTTTTGATACGGTGACCTACAAGTCCAAATTTACATCATATAGGGACCCATCCAGGCTGGCCCAAGGTTTTTTGGTGCCCTAGGCAGACTATGACCTTGACACCCATCTGTTCCAGCATTCCATTTTCTATTGTGCCCAACCAGATATTTTTGAGAAACCAACAAACATCACACAAAGGGTGCAGCTGCCCCCATGAACCCCTAGCAAGTGGGAGTTCATCTCCTCTTCTGCCAGCTGGTCCAGAACTGGAGTGTGAGGAGGTGCACTTAGAATCATAGAGTTGGAAGGGACCTCCAGGGACATCTAGCCCAACCCCCGCACACTGCAGGAAATTCACAACTACCTCCCCCCCACACACCCAGTGACCCCTGTTCCATGCCCAGAAAATGGCAAAAGAAACCTCCAGGATCTCCAGCCAAACTGGCCTGGAGAAAATTGCTTCCTGACCCCAAGGTGGCAATCAGCATTTCCCTGGGCGTGTAAGAAAGGGACATGAGAACTAAGCGGTGATGCAACCCTTCCTGCCCTCCTTTTCATGATCTGCCTCAGTTCACAGAATCAGCATTGCTGTCAGATGGCCATCTAGCCTCTGTTTAAAAACCTCCAAAGTTGGAGAGCCCACCACCTCCCGAGGTGGTTCATTTGTGGGGAGCTGAGTTGAGGAGATACATGAAGATGGCGGACGGGTCATTTCCTGCAGGAGCGCACAGGAGCGGAGCTCTGGCAGTAAAGAGCCCGGGGGGCGGGCACATGCAATGAGCCCCACCCCCTGCTCCCAGCAGCCCTCAGTCAGAGCAAGAAGCAGCCAGGTAAGCTGCAGAGCCCCCCCAGCCCCCCAGTCCAAAACAGTCCAGTGGCACCTTTAAGACCAAGTTTTATTCAGGTACAAACTCTCCCCTCCTCTGTGAGGAAAGATCTGCACGTCCCCGTCCCCCCCAATAGCTAGCAATCCAAAACATCCAAGGGTGTTGCCTTCTGACACACTTCCGGTGATGTCAGGGTGTGTGGCATATGCAAATAAGTTACGCTAATGAGATATGCTAATGAGCTCCTGCACCTCTTTTTCTACGAAATGACCCCTGATGGCGGATGGCAGTGAAGAGGGTGACGGCAAGGGGCTTGGGGCAGTACCCCTCCCACAGCAGGTAGAGGAAAGTCAGGAACTGCAGGAGGCTGAGCAAGGGGGTTTGGCTGCTGAAGCAGCAGCACCAAGAGAAAGCCCAGGCACCCACACACCTCTTCCTATCCTCCGCTGGTATTTCCTGGGCATGCTGAACAGCTCCCACCTCCTCTCTGTTGGAAGCGAAGGCGTTGTCCCCTGCCTCAGACCTCCAGAAGCAAGTGGGAAGAGAGAGGAGACAGCTAGATAGGCACACTGACCTTGCCTTCCTGTGTTCTCTTCTGCCACTATCCCCTTTGAAATGTAGATTGTGTTCTCAGGGACAATTTCCTTCCTTCCGTTCACTCAGAGGACGCTCCCCCATCTCTCCGTACACACCAAGAGGGATGACATGCTGCCCTCTCTTGGCACCGTGAGGCAGATGAGCCTCTTACCATCTGCTTCCATCCTTAGCTAGTTAGTTAGTACTCTGTCCTGTCCCTACTCTTTCAAATCCAAAAAGTGTACTTCTCAAATAAAGAGAGAAGTATTTCTCTGTTAAGCTTTGTAAACTGAGTAACCAGGTGAAGAGATGCTCCTGCGTTTGTAGGTTTATTTCAAGCCCTCTGCTAACTAGTGGGACCTGGACTTAACCACACCAGTTAACCCCAACACCCCCCAGCCTTCCTCCCTTCTTTCAGCTACTACCATGAAGTTACTAGTTGCCAGGCGACTTTGCCTCCCTCATTACTGTCACAAAGAGGCGGGGGGAGATGAGCATGTGAGAAGCTGGCGAAGAGGAAAGAAAGGGCAGAAGTGGCCATTAGGGAGGGCTGGGCTGCGACTATGGTTGCCAGCCTCCTGGTGGGGCCTGGAGATCTCCCAGAATTACAATTTATTTCCAGATGACAGCCATCAGTCCCCCTGGAGAAAATGCCTGCTTTGCTGGGTGGACTCTATGAAAAAGGAGAAGAGTTGGATTTATACCCCACCCTTCACTCAGAGGGGGCTGCGGTGGCTCAGTGGTTAAGACACTGAACTGCAGACCGGAAGGTCGGTGTTTCAGCAGTACGAGACCCGAGTGCCGCATGACGGAGTGAGCTCCCATCTCTGTTCCCGCCAACCTAGCAGTTCCAAAGCAAGAGATTGCAAGTAGATAAACAGGTACTGCTTTGGTGGGAAAGTAACAGCATTCTGTGCTCCTCGGCATTTAGTCATGCTGGCCACATGACCACAGAAACATCTTCGGACAGCGCTGGCTCTTCGGCTTGGAAATGGAGATGAGCACTGCCCTGAGCCCATTTGGGAGGGCAGGGTATAAATGTGAAAAATAAATAAATAAAATAAACCCTAGAGTCGGATTCGACTGGCTTTCGAGCAAGGGAAACCTTTACCTTTACCTTCACTCAGAATCTCAGGGCAGCTTACAATCCCCTTCCCTTCCTCTCCCCACAGCAGGCACCCAGTGACATAGGTGGGGCTGCGAGAGCTCTGAGAGAACTGCTCTTGAGAGAACAGTGACTGATCCATGGTCACCCAGCTGGCTGCATGAGGAGTGGGGAAATCAAACCCGGTTCTCCAGATTAGAGTCCGCCGCTCCTAACCACGACACCAAACTGGTGCATCACCTGCCGAGGCCCCTCCCACTACCCTCCCCAGGCTCCACCCCCAAATATCCAGGGATTTTCTCAGCCTAGAGCTGGCAATCCTACAGCTGTGACCCACTTTTGGGTCCCGACCCCCAGGTGAACTAGGCAACCTCTTGGGGATCTGGTCTCAGCTGGAGGCAGAGGCATCACTCATTTACCTGCTCTACAACGGACAGTAAACAGTATAAAGACCTTCAGTACAAAACATATTCAGCTGAATGCAGATATGCAGGGAGAGGAAGGGAGATCGTCCCCAAATGAGAGCAAACACAACAAAACACCCGTTTTCCAGAAATATAGCTCTCAGTCAAGTTTATCGAGTGGAACAATCTCAAGAAGTATCGGCCTAACATAAAACATGGGACCGAGGCCAGAGATCCTGCTTTCTCATCTTTATCCTCTG